GGAGGAGGAGGAGGAGAAGGAGAAGGAGAAGGAGAAGGAGGAGAAGATTTAGACACAGATGACAAATTCTTCCAAATCAGTTTTTTTCTTAGTGTTCTCTTACTATCACTATTCCATAACCTTATAAAATTATTAGATCATAATGCCAGTGATATCAGAAAACAAAATAAAATGGAATTTCCCAAAATTAAACATCAGCGCAGGGCCCATGCTAATTTTCTCTATATTGTTCCAACTTTAGTGCATTGCTGCCACTGCTGATGGGAGTGTAGATTGGTGAAACCACTGTGGAAAGCAATTTGGAGATTCATCACAAAACTAGGCTTGGAAGTCCCATTTAACCCAGCTATTCCCCTCCTGGATATTTTCCCAGAAGAATTAAAGACATCATACCACAGTGATATATGTGCACCCATGCTTATAGCAGCACAATTTGTCATAGCTAAATCTTGGAAACAACCCAGATGCCCATCAGCTGAGGAATAGATAAAAAAGTTGTAGTATTTTTATGCAATGGAGTATTACTCAGCTATTAAAAAAGATAAACTCCAGGTTTTCATAGGTAAATGGATGCAACTAGAGACCATACTCATAAGTGAAATAAATCGGACCCAGATGTGTAAACAGCATATTCTCTCCTTGGTGTAGGAACCTGAAAGACTAGGTAAAATTGAAAATGTACAATAGATGACAGGAAAGGGAAAGAAATTGTTCAAAGGAAGGAACAACTGGGATGAGGGAAAGAAGAAAAAAGAAAGAAGGAAGGCAAAATACAAATATATGTATCAATAGCTGCGATAACTGCATTGCTGATGTCTAATGGTGTATTGAAATGAACAGTTAGTGCTTACAACATTTTATGTTCTGATCGATTGTGCATGCTTGTGTCTGGTGGTCTGAGCAACTGATTTGCAGGTAACACTATGCAATGGAATTACAATGGTGAACCTCTACCATCTTGTCTAGTAAAACTCTGTATTATTTCTAATGTTTTATCAAAGAATTATTTTCTTATTCTCTTTAATGGTTTGAGCAATCTTTCATTCTTACATCTAGTAATCTGAGCAATGTAGTTGAGGATAGCGATATGCAATGTAACAACCACTGCTGATTCATATTATTTTGTCTTGACACTCTGTATCACTTTGAATGTTCTTGCTTTGATTTGTTTATGTTTGTGATACTGGTATGCTGCTACTGTTCTATTTTTTTGTTTGTTTGTTTCTCATTTACTACTCTCTTTAAAATAAAAAAAGAAAAAAACAGAAATAAACTTGACCTGAAAAACAAAAAACAGCAACAACAACAACAAAATCAGCGCTACCCAGAACATAAAAAGATTTTTTAAGTGAATGAAATAAGTTGGTAAGAACAGAATGTGAGGCTCATTCCTGAGATATCCTGTACTTGACACCTGAAGTAAAGGATCATGGTCAAGGTCAGGGGGGAGGGAAATCACCCCTACATGACTTACTTCTTTGTATCCGAAGATGATGCGTCCGTCTATAAGGAGAGTTGCCTGGAATGTAAAGCTTCCCAAGTTGTAATTATCCTGGAGATGTACATGGTCCCACTGGACAACCAGGGCTGTCCCTAGCGGCAAAAAGAAGAAATGCAACGAGAAAAAATACTGGTCAAGTCATAGGAACATTAGTCTGGCCTTCAAAGCCAGTAATTGTGCTATTTCAATTTTATGTGGCCACTTGGAATTCTGGCATTGAAATAGCATTTAGGATCATTTTTAAAGGATTGAGCATTTTCTCTAAATATTTGGTAAAAATCTAACCTCATACTGAGGCTAATATGGAGCCAACCCAGTGTGGGGGAATTTGGCCTTAGGAATTTCATTAATGTTAATGCATACTATCTGCTTACATTTCTATGAGCCACTTTCAAAACGCAGCCCAAGTGGATTGAATGAACTTCAAATACTTTTGACAAATTCTTAGAAAGGAACACATTCAAAAAACCTATACCTACTTATAAAAGACCTGAAAATGTCTTTTCCATACTTAGAGTTATATTCTTCCACATTGAAGAAGTTCCTTTAACACTAATGGGAATTTTCTTCTTTGATTCACAATGCCTGCATTTTGGTCTTTGTTGTATGGTTTCCAGAAGCCTGCAAGGTACCTTAAAGAGCCCTGGGCTAAGATTTCTGAAGCCTCCTTGAAGTGCACTGGGGTGAATCTGCCAGTGTTTGTTGTGAAACTATTAGCATGAAATATAAGTTGAAAAATAGTTTAGTAGTCAAATCACCAATGAATATTCATACTTTCTATGTAAAGGACATTGTATATATATATATATATATATATATATTTTTTTTTTTTTTAAAGAAAACATATCAGCTAAGGCTTTTGCTTAGTTTTAAATGCTCAATTTTTCTCTTTGGTTAAAAAATCTTGTCAAAAAGTTGTGTTAAAAATGAAACACAGAACTAAAAGAGCAAAACTTCTTTTCTGTGGAAAGTTTACATAAAAATATCACTATCATGTAGCAAAATATTTTCAGCACGCATTTTGTATTGTTAGAAATGTATAAAAATTCTTGAGTTAGTTGGCAATTTTAAATATAGTTAAATATTTTGAACATCCAATTGTGAATCCTTAAGGGTTGTTAAAATATAGAGATGTACAGTATTTCTTTGGAGGAAAAATTTAAAAGTTAAATAAATGTAATTGAACTTCATCTGAGTGCTTTTAGCCAGAAGAAACATCACGTATTCGGCCAAGGAGAAAATCCAACTCTCTTCTTTCCATGGTCCCCTTCATGTCTATACTACCATTTCTTTCAAGGTAGAAAGGCTAGAAGAGAATACCAGGAAACTGCCTAAGATTTTGTCACTGCAGGGTTTTCTGTGCATGGAATGATGAAACTTCTTTTGCTTGTCCACATGTTTCCAACCCTCACACCTCAGTCATTTCCTGATTCTTTAATTTCTATCACAGCTTTGTGGTACAGTGGAAGTAAGAGCTAGACTTCAGAAGACCTAGACAGAAGTCCTACCTTTGTGACTTTTCTGTGTGACAACAGCCACAGCTAACTTGTATGAACCTACTCCCTCCTCCCCTCTAATACGGGAAGTGGTAACTCCTGTCTTCAATGAAGTTCTGCATTGAATATAAGAAAATGAACTGAAAATAAGAGTTCTACATAAACTAGCCAACTATTTTAATTCAATTCTGATGAAGCTATTCCTAATACTTTAGTGTTAGTAGCAAGTTTAAAGAAAACACTGTAAATGCTGTTTTATATTCTGTTATTGGATAGCTCCTCCAACATCCATTGATTTCAATGTTCTTATACAATACCAATAGAATATTGAGTATAAACGTTTCCATTAATTTTTAAAGTAAGCTAAATATTTCTATTCTGTGTTATCAAAGAAACAACATTTCTGGGGCTGGGGATTTAGCTCAGCGGCAAAAGCGCCTGCCTGGCAAGTGCAAGGTCGTGAGTTCGGTTCCCGGTACCGGAGAAAAACAAAAACAAAAACAAAAACAAAAAAGAAACATTTCAAGTTTCATCTTTTATTAACTATTGCTAGAATCTAAAGCTTCATATTATGCAGGTGACTGGAAGTGGCCTTTAGAGATGAATATTTGTTTTGATGTGTTCTTTAGTGTTTTTGTAATCAGGTTCTTACTCAAAATATTGATTTCCATGCAATGCATAGTATGGGAAACAAATAGTAAGTGGACCAGAAAGGCACTTTCCTTGGAAAACTCTGATGTTGGAAAATATATGACTAAAAGAACACTATGGGTTGAAGAACTAAATCTCCCTTTCCAAAGAGCTGGGCGGTCCACCTCTAGGCTACTTCTCTACAGTTACTTGAGCACATGGATCAGACCACAAGAGTTGGCTAAACCATCTTACTGCTGCCTGATCAATAACGGATGCCAATTCTTTATCTTCAAAACAAAAACACAGCTAGAATGAACTAGTGCTACTTAAGGCTTTAGCAACTCCAAATTTTCTGATTCTATGCTTGATCAGGTTTTCTGATTCTATGATCGATCAGGTTTTCTGATCACTGGCAAGAATTATATTGCATTGTTTATTCTTTGTGAGCTATCAAATTAGTTTTCTAGTAAAAGTGGTTATTTGTATAGCTTTGCCACTTTTTTGTACATTAATATGTTGTGACTAACTTAGGCCACATTACTACTCAAGCAAGTTACAACTTTTCAAAGCATCAACTCATTTAAGAATCTAGTGCTATAATTCCTATAGAAATATTACCATAAAAGAAATATTCTATCCTGCTGCTGTCTCCCCTAGAGATGTTTTGCTTTTCTAAAATGCTGCTTCCCATTCTTAAGCAGTCTGTCAGTGATCATAACCAATCAATGTTGAGAACATTTCAGTGAATTGTTGTAATGGGACTTTGTGAAGAGTCTTACAGGATTGAAAAGTGCCTCATTTATTAAATACATACAGCAATTACTCATCATTCATTATATTACAGGAACTCAATATTCCCATTAGTCATTACACAGAAAGCATTTAATAAGGTAAAAATTATAATGCTTTAGTATTAATATGTTATAATTCTTATAGTTAAAATTCATATATTTATTTTATTTTGTTATTTATTCATTCATTGATTATTTATTGTGGACCTACTGCTTATTCAATACCTTTGCCATCAGAGTCATAGCTTTTTTTTTGTTTGTTTGTTTGTTTTGTTTTTTTTGTTTTTCTCCGGTACCAGGAACCGAACTCAAGACCTTGTGCTTGCCAGGCAGGCGCTTTTGCCGCTGAGCTAAATTCCTAGCCCCAGAGTCATAGCTTTTGTTTTCAAAGAATTTAGATCCAGATGAAAAGATATGCATACATTCATTTAAAAATGATTTAAAAATTCATTGACCTAAGAGTAAACTCAAACATTGAGTTCTCTAGGAAGGGACTATCTGAGAGAATATATGAGGAGAGAGTTATTAAGCATATTTTATGACTAATATTTACAATTATTGTGACTAATATTTACATTTATATATTTGGTGTGATTCAAATTGTTTAACATATATTATTTTATCCATGGTTTCTTTTCTCTACCAAAGATACAGCTTTCAATAAGATGTAGAGACAGTAAGAATATATGCCTCCAAGACCTGGAATTTATCATTTGGATTTTATATAACAATAATAATAACAATTATTATCATTAATATTATTTATTATTGACAGTATTGAGGACTGAATGCAGGGTTTTCATGCTGAGCTAAACATCCAGCCCTTTTTAAAATTTTGACACAGGGTCCTGCTGAGTTTCTAAGTTGCCCAGGGTGGATTCGAATTTGTTATCTTCCTGTCTCATCCTCCCAGAGTGCTGAGATTTTCTTTTGGATGTTAATGGCATTTAATATTATACTTGAGGTTTTATCTCTTTTATATGCCTCCCTCACTATAGGGGTAGATTGTTGTCAGTACACACGACAGATCCTAACAGGATCTATTTAATATTTTGAAGTCAGAAATGTTTCATTTTCTTATGTATATTTGAAATACTTACTACCTTATATTTTTAAAAAGGTAATGGATAACGAGTTCATAAGCTCTTAATATCAGTATAATATGCTACTTGCTGCCACTTAAAGATCAGAACTAGCACAATTATAGTCTTGTGGATTTTTAAAACAGGAAGAGCTTTTTCAAAATAGGATTCAATAAATGTATCTGCGTTGCTTACAGGCTATCTACAACTCTTTTTCATACATTTATTAAATGAATAAATGAGTGCCATCTGACCATGTACATTATATGACATAGTAACAGTTAAGAGTATTCACTGTAGTTTCAGGAGATTCGCAGTTTACAAATTTAGCCTGGCCTCCAACCTGCAAGAAAACCCCAATATCTTACAGAAATGTTAGCACAAAAATGTACATTCATCATAAATAGAATAATTAATACATACCATTATCAAAGTATCTGACTGTTGAATTTCTGGATACGCTGGGATCAAAATTTGCCATTAGAGGTGCAATGTACTGTGTGGCTGTTAACATTCGATGCACAACTTCTCCAGTGTATATGAAACCTAAAATTAGGAAAATAAGACACACATTATGAAAAAGATGCTCTGCTGGGCGCAGTGGTGCACATCTGTAATCCCAGCACTCTGGAGGCTGAGGCAGGAGGGTTGTCTAGAGTTGGAGGTCAGTCTGGGCTACCTAGTGAGCTCAAGGCCAGCCTGAACTACATAGTGAAACCCTGTCTCAAAAAACAATGAAAAGAAAAGAAAATAGAAGAAAAGAAAAAAGAAAAAGAAGCCCAGACAAAATTGTCATTAAGCTATTTCCAAGTCAACTGCAGTCATATTTTGAAAATAAAATACCATAGCAGTTACATTATTAAAAAGGGAAATAGTATCTTAATGTCTGATTAATAACATGGAATGGATAAGGTAACAATTCTCATATAATTTGAAAGTACTTTTCAGACTGGGAAATCAGAAATCTATGATATGTACAACTCTAATTTTTGTTTCCCACTTTTCAGTGACTATTATCTAGAAAAAATAATTAGGCTGAAAAATGCTAACATAGCATAAGTAACTTAAATATTCAGATTTTCTATTATTAGTCCTTTATTATTTAAACATTAGCTAGCACAAAAATCCATTTTACAAGTGATTTTATTTTCAAGATGTTTATTTGGATTTTATTAAACTATGAACAGTATAGGACATTTTAGAAATGTCATATGCTAAAATGCAGAGTATGATTTCCATTCCTTTTGTTTGTTTTTTATTGAGAGAGAGCTAAATACCCATGGAGAAGCTTTCAAATTTCTCAGATTGCTCACGCCTTATAATAGTAGAACCCTATCAAGAAGATAAGGTCTATATGTTTCCAGATAAGATGGTAAAGTGTTGACACTACACAAATGCTTTCTATCTAGAAAGTTACCAATGCAGTCTATTCTAGCAGTTGGAAAATGAGAGGGAATTTACTACAGAGGACTTTGGCTTTGAATTAACTTTCAATAGCTCCTATGTTAGGACTCTAACCCATTTTCAATTATTCACACTAGGTTTATTTACTTTGTGGACTATCCATGACAAATTGCTAATTCTATACTGGCTCTTTGCCTCCAAGGTCTTTAGCTGCCTGAAAGAAGAGCCAGCTCAGGGAATGCTAAATGATTTAAATATTAATCTATGAAATACACAATTAAGAATAAATATGCAACATGGGCACACACAATATTATAATATAAAAGGCAGTGAAACTTCTTTGTAACAATGAGTTAACTAAGTATTTGAGGGTATTGATCATTTCTTTTATTTCACAAGAAGCAATAAAACATACAAGATTTTTTAAAATTTCATACAAAAGTGTGTGGTATCTAAATCTCAAAGTAATGTTACCTCATTTATGATTTAAATAAAGATTTTATTGATGCATTGTCATGTTTATTTCTTTAAATTCTAAATTGTGGTTTTCAAGTAAACCATTGTTGAATGAAATCTGTAGTTACAGATTTAGTAAATATTTTACTTATTAAAAAGATCTTAAATGTCCTTTAATAAAAGATGTCGTGTCAACATAGTTATTGTTTCTGTTATATTTCTGTCTAGATTTTCAATCATACCCTTAATGTTCAAAGTCCAATACCACAACTTTAAAATTATAAAGATAAAAAAGTAACTATTTTGGGAGATTTATGATTTATATATTATCCTCACCAGCATTAAATTTCATCACTAAAACAGATAAAAAACTAGTATAAGTAATTTAAATATTCAGATTAAATATTTAAAAATATTTAAAATTTCATCATTAAAACAGATAAAAAATTCTGTAGTCACAACCTTTAAGTAAAATTTTTGAATTTCACTCTGCCAGATTTCTTTCAGAGAGAATGGCTACAAATATTCTCTATATTTCTGTGCGCTAATAGGAGAAATCGCTTAATTTAGAATACAGAGGGCAGTAATTCAAGGCAGGAAGATAATTTTAAATCAGTGCAAAAACCATTCTCCAAAATAACTAAGAAAAGCAGCACTAATTCCTAGAAATAGAGGGTTACAAAATTTGGGGGCACTGATGATTTCAGATACTTAATTCTTTTTGTTTTTTCATTAAATAATTTTTAATTGACAAATAATATTTGCATATATTTATGAATATCATGTAATGTTTCAACACATGCATACACTGTATTGGGCAATGATTAACTCAGAATAACTAGCATGTCCATCACCTTAAGCATTTGTCATATGTTTATACTGAATATGTTAAAAATCTTCATCTAACTACTCTGAGATAGACAATGCATTGTTAGTTATATTCACCTTCTATGCCACAGAACACCAGAATTGCTTCCTTTTATATGACTGTAATGTTATGTTGATTAGCGTTTTGTCACCTCCTCTTCAGCCTACTCTTCTCAATCCTAGTAATCACTGTTCTATCCTGAATTTCTCTAGATGAACCTCTTGAGATCCTACATATATAATTATTACAGTTAATGTTTATACACGCACGAATCCCTGTTTCAACACAGATTCAACAAGCCATTATTTTGCTTTCTGTGACCCAATTATCAGACCATAGAAACAATTAAGTGCTGTTTCTTTTGTTCAGGAAAAGTTATCCCAGACTACAGTTACCGATATTTTCAAAGTGAAGCTTCAGATTTTTCCCAAAGAACTAAGTTAAAATAGGGGAGACTGTATTAATAGTAAGAGTTATAGTCACAGTTCTTCATCTTTCTGTTATTGAAATTTACTATAAATCATAACTTCTATTACTATGAGCATTATAGCTACTGTAACTACAGTGAATGAGAAACAGAGATTGCCATTACAACGTGCCTACCACTATTGTTATTATCACAATTATTAATACCATCCTTGCCAAAAGATGTGAAAAGTAACCCAAGGATGATAAACCCGCACTGCTCTGAAACTATATTATGTTTTGCTAATCTAGGAAATACTTATTTGTTCCTCTTGGCCATAATAAATACTGATTTCTGTCAATATCTTTGAGAGGAATTCTGATTGGTTCTTAACACTTGATTACAACAGTGGCTGGCTCTCCTTAGCTCTTAAATTCTGAGAATTTAAAAATTAAAAAAAAATTTAAAATAATAAAAATGATAAAAAGTAAAAATTTTAAAATATTTTTAAAATTGAGAAATATCATTTCAGCAGTGGGTAGAACAGAATGGAGAGAAACAAGGTTAATGAAAGGAGAAATGCAATTAAGTGTTGAATAGGAACCAGTTATGCAAATTAATGCAACAAAATTTTTTCAAAGCTTTAAAGGCATTCTTAGTGACTAACACACTAATGAGACATGTACCTCTTTTCTCTGGCTGCCCTGGTCATACCTAGTTGTAGAGAAAAACAGTTCATTTCTCTGGCCCTTCACTTTCTAAGCTAATTTAAACAATACTTTTTAATTATTTATTTCAAACTTCTCTGTACCCATTTGGATGGCTAAACATAAAGTAGCTTTACTTATTATGTGCTTTTAATATAAACAGCAATCATCTGTCTAGTAAAGTAGAAAAGTTATTATTACCTAGGAAATTTGGAACTCAGAAGAATGCTCTTATTTAAAGGCAAACATATTTTACTCTTTGAATCTTAAATAATAGCACATTCCCTTTCCTTTCCCTGTTACTAATAAACCTAGAGTCAAGTTCTGAGCTCATCTGTAATCAACAGCTTTGTTCTAGTTGCTTGACAGATCTCCTGGTAGGTGATCTGGAGTTACTTGAATAATCTGATTTTAAACATATGCATCTCATTTAAGTCACTTGAGGACTCTATTACTGTAAACTCTGTTATGAATAAATCCCACTCACTATCTATTTATTAATTATTAAAGGTCTGTAATTATTAAGGTTTTAGTAATTATGACACATATCTATTATGATCTTCATATATTATTAATTAGATCAAGTGTATCAATCATTAATAGATCAAATAGCTGAAATTTATGGATAAGAACTTGGAAAGCAAATTTCTCAGTCTGATTTTTCATCAGAAAAATACTGTGCTAATAGTGATATCAATCTACATAGGTTTTTCAAATATACTATTTTCATATATTCACATCAGTTTATCATACCATAACTTTGAAAAGAATGATGATCATGTATTACTTCCACTTGTTAAATGAAATATTTAATTAGGCTCGGTAATTTGCCCAAAGCCATAGAGCTAGCCTAGGTCTTTAAATTCTAATTTTTGGGATTCAGTATGGTATATTTTAGAATTCCTTTTGAGTACAACCTTATGTAAGGGACTATTGAGGACAGTAAGTGAGGTGGTATACCTTCTCTGGAAGTCATTTCCTAGGCTATCATGTTACGAATGCTGACAGCTCGCATAAGCAAATTAAAAATGCCCCAATAAGATTTCTCAGAACTATATATCCTCCCTCACTGAACTTTATTCGTATCCAAGGACTTTAAGAATAAAAAGACTTCTTTCCTGCTTGAACACTCTGGTACTATCTTTTCCTTGAAGCAGAATGGCAGTGACTTCAAATCATGATACTTCTGTTTTTCTGTATTGCCAAAGCTTCAGGTCTTTTAATGAGAAGATTGTATAAATATGTTTAAATTAAATTCTTTTGTTGCAACCAACCTAACAATACTGAAAGTGATGGGAGAATAAAGTGTAATTAGAGCAGTTATTTCATGGTAGAAACAAATTATTTCCTAGGGGAGTGATTAAAGTACTTAACCTGTCTGGGCCTCAGTTCCCTAAATTTTTTTGGTAGTACGTGTTCCCAAAATATATAAAAAATGCATTCATTGTAAGGAGCTGGCACATATACCAACATACGCATTGCATATATTAGTCCTTTTTTATTTCCTTCTGTAAGTAAAAATTAGAGGAAATTGAAGTGATCAGTTAGTTTTCTGCAAATTTCTATTTTCAGTGCTCTTCTTTAGTGCTTTTGATGTAAATTGGTAACGATTTTTACTCTTAGAGGTATTTACTGTCTTATATATACCAGTTAAGTCTACACTTATAATAGGATGTTTATGACTTTAAAATTACCCTTCAGACTG